AATTTATGTGATTGGTTTTGGAAGATTGAGCTAAATGGAAGCTAAAATGTTGAAGAGTTTCTCTCTTCTTTGCTCAAGAGAGAGCCGGCCACCAAGGAGTAAGAAATGGTGATTTTTGGTTAATTTTTGAGATATTTAATCAATGGGTCAAAAGTCAAAAAAACATGAATAGTTGTCACCAAGTCATATCCAATGGAAGAGTGACACTTGTCACTTCATTAAATGCAAGTCTATCCCTTTCTTTTCCTCTCACATCAATCACTTCACATCTTCTACTTATCTCTTAACACCCGATAAATTTCCACAGTATCCGGAATTTAACCTAATTGGCCGAATTTTTCCGAACTTTTCGCACTAGTGGGTCCCACGTCCATTATATACTCTTAATTTTTCAAAACCTCTCCAATACTAGAAAAATCATCTAAAAACTATAATTACTCATAAAATTTACCAGGAGAATTTTCCTAAGCCAGAAAATGCAAAAATTATGCCTTTAAATGGGAAAAACCCTAAGAAAATTATTAGGGATTTACGGGTTCTCACACTCTCTCCCCCTTAAAAGAATTTCGTCCTCGAAATTCCTTATCAGCGGAATCCATCAAATCTAAGGTACCCAACGGATCGTACCTTCTACGTCCTCAGACGAGTCAGGGACCTGATGATGCTCCAGGGAATATACTCGAGCCGGTACTTTCGCTCCAGTCCCTTCTCCTTTCGACTGTCCAGGGTTGGTCTTAGCTGGTTGCTGAGAGTTAGTCTTGGTTGGTGGCGGAGTCCCTCTCCCTTCGCGCAGTCTTGCTGGACAGTTAGCAATTCGATGTTCGGCGCTACCACAGCGCAGGCATTTTCCTTCTTTCTTCCAACAATTTGCCTCCGTGTGATTTGGCCCTCCGCAATATCCACAGAGACCTCGAGTAGCAGTGACCGATCCTCCTGGTGAGACACCACTGGCCACCCCCGGTTGTCGTATTCCCCCGTTTCCTTTTCCACTCTTAGGGGGTGTGCTCTTATCTTCCTGTTCCGAGCTGCTCCTAGAAAAGCCCCTTTTCTTGGTTTGGAAGTTTCTAACTTGTAACCTTGCATCTTCAACCCGTTGAGCTTTCTCCACAGCGTCACTAAAGGTACTAAGTTGAGCTACAGCCAAATCCTTTTGAATCACAACATTTAGCCCCTGAATAAAACGCCTTATCCGTCTTTGTTCGGTTATGATCAGTTCAGGCGCAAACTTAGACAACCGAGTGAATTGACTCTCATACTCGGCTACGGTTTGTGTTCCCTGGCGAAGTCGAATGAATTCATCTTCCTTCTTTTCTTGGATGAGAGGAGGGAAAAACTTGGCATTAAATTCTCTCATAAAGTTCGCCCACGTCCTCGGTGTTTGTTCTCTTTCCCATTTCATTCGAATGACATTCCACCAGGAACGGGCGGCTCCCTCTAGTTGAAAGACAGCAAATGTCACCTGTCTCTACTCGGTATAGTGCAAGGCAGCAAAAATATCGATCATCTTCTCCAGCCACTTCTCAGCTACGTCAGGATCAGGGCCTCCAAGAAATTTGGGTGGGGAGAACTTCTGAAATCTCTCAAGGGTTCTATCCTCGCCCTCCATGTGATTACCAGGATTCCCAGGGTTAGGTTTAGGGTTTTGACCTTGTTGGTGCACCACTTGAGCTAGCAAAGCAGTCATTTGCTGCATGGCAGCGGCTATTTGGACATTGGGGTCAACCCTAAGTTCAGGGTTTGGTCCAGATGAGGTTTCCCCAGTACCCCTTTCAGGCGTAGGTTGCCTATTTCCACCCACGCCACCGTCCACTCCGTGTACCTTCCATGAGTTTTACTAGGTCTAGGCAATAATACTAAACCAAAATAAGCACGATGCATGTGAGTAACACTCAAAACTTTTATGATAACACACATTTATACATTCCAAACAAGATCAAAACATATATATACAAGCCGGTCAAAATTAAGCCACACACATATATACAGCCAGTTAAGTCTAGTACAAACATAAACGATCCACCGAGGAATGGCCTTTCTAGTTCACCAAATCCTTTCTAACCTAGGCCCTCATATCTTTCGTATCCGGGCGCAAGAATCCCATCTAAGATAATTCACAACTTGAGCCGGCCGGTCCCAAGAGCAAACCATCCTTATTAAAGATTCCTACCCGACATACATACCTAGCTTCCTCGAGTCCCATGATAATGATTCGCACACCTATCACATGCCCGGTTCATAACTTATGCTCAAACGAGCACTTAGACATATTCATGAAATTAGGACCACAACACCACTTGACCCAATCTCACTCCGCGCAGAGACCACGCGAAGTGGCTCTGATACCACTTGTAACAGCCCCACCTTCCCCTAAGGCGAACCAAAGGGGTTAGCGGACTGCCTGCCCATCTCTCGCCAGAACTACGGATCCGTTTACGTCAATCTAATACGTTCCGGAACTTACCAATGCGCGCAACCAAGTCAAAATGGCAACATAACCCAAAATAAGAAAATGTAATCCGGAGTCGGCCATGATAGTAACCGACCCGTCAGAACCCAACCGAAAGGGCACGCAAACATTCACATCTGAACTTTAGCGTTACAAATCAAAATGACATACAAAAGCTTTCAAAAGTTAATACATATACACGGTTTGCCAAATCAAAAGAGAAAACGCCCCAAAAGTACACTTAGGGTTTTAATACATGAGCTATACAAAAGATATGTTCAACTAGCTCAATTTGGCAGCCATTTGTCAAATCCAGACCAAAAGGGTTTATTTTCCTGTAAGGAAAACAAAAGGAACAGAAAGGGGTGAGCTTGCCGCTCAATGAGGTACCAAACAGATAGCATTAAAATCATGGCATTTCACATTTAACAAATCAGATACACATGTCAGATGTAAAGCAAAGGAACCAATGATTCAAATCAGAAGGATACGGGTGGCTCTCAGGAGCCAAATTTCCAGCGCAGTACTTGATCCAAACCGGTTGACTCTCCGTCAACGTATATAGAACCAACACGTCCGTAGACCCCTCTTAACACCGAATTCCGTCCACCAAACACCCCTTTACTGGGCCCGCTCACCTCAAACGAACAAAATGGTAATACTCGAGTATACCCGGAATCAAGGGTCTCAATACCCAAAATCCCTTGCTGGCTTGATTACAATGTAAGTTGTTATTTTCATCTTTTTATGGGTTTATTGTTAAATTATTTGTAACAGTGTTCAAATGTAGTTAGTTTGTACTCGTCCGAGAAAAATTTCGAGAGCAATCAGGTGTACTCTTGTTGTTTTTTTAAAAAAAGAAATGATTTGCGGTAACCAAGGTCAAAGGAGGAAAAAGTTGGAACCAATTGTTGTACAGATGTTGATAAAAGTGTGTGTTTGAGCAAAATTTCACTATTTTTTATAGAAATTACATGGTAAATATTAGGAGAAATTACCAAATTGGTCCCTCACATTTCAAAAAAATATTTTGGTCCTTCACATTTACAATTAGCCACATTAGTCCCTAACACATAAAAATGTCTGCCCAATTGGTCCTAGAACTCATTGGCACTCACTTCTCCAACCAAAAAGGCATGTCCCTATCACGTGCTCATATTTTCAAGAACAAAAACGAAAATACATTTCGTTCACTTTGTTTAAAAAAAGGAAAATTACATTCTACCCCTCTTGTCGTTTAGTATTTTTTTTACATAACCCTTCTATGGTTTCAAAAGTTATAAATAACCCCTTCATGGTTTGGATTAAAGTGTCAAAGTAACGAAATTTATATTCTATAATGGAGTCAACTAAAATGTCAAAAATACCCCTATTTAAAGTTAAAAATTATTTATTAACCACAAAGAGAATATATTTATATTTTAAAAACCATACAGGAGTTATATGGTAAAACATTTAACCATACGGAGTTAAAGTATCATGTATATTATTTTTATATATTTTGGTCACTTCATCCATTTTAGTTTTTAAACAAAGGTAATTTCGACATTTTTGTAGGTTCCGCTACAAATGATTATTTCCGTTATTTTAACACTTCAATCCAAATTATGAGGAGATTATATATAGTTTTTAAAATTATAGAGAGGTTATGTGAAAAATAACTATACCACGTGGGGGTAAAGTGTATTTTGCCCTAAAAAAAAGGGCCACCAAACCCAAACCACCTTTTCTCCCCCTTCTCCATTTTCATCTACCAAAACCCTAAGCATAAGCCACCATACCCAAACAAGAATGTAATTTTCCCAACCTTACAAATGAAACTGGAAGCTCCACTAGGTTGATGTTTCAAATGAACTAAGAAGCAAGAATTCCTCAATATGTTGAAGTACAAATCCCTTACTTCACCCATGAGAACTCATTGGGTTTTTTGGTGATAAAAGGCCAAAACAAGAATGAGGTTTAATAAATTTATAGTTTACACTTTCCTGCTTTGTAGGTATTGATTCATTTTCACTAAGGTAAGTAGTTGTAGCACTCTTTAATGAATAAAATAGTTTTAAATGCCTATGTTAATGTGAAATTCAGCAGAGAGTTGAGATACTTATAATTCCTTTGACTCATGAACTAATATGATAAGTATTTATGGAATTTTGATGCTACATTTGTTTCACACTTTGAGCTCGTGATTCGTTGTTTACTGTCATTAGAACTAATTAGTTCTTTATTTTTGTCTGTCTAACCTACCTAATAGGACAATGGCGCCTTCAAGCCAAGAAATCGTTGCCTGGCTGCAGGGTAGCAAAATGTCACGATCAAAAGGTACTTAGTGAGGGCAACAAGTGCTTGATGTCCTTTGTTCCCGAGACATTTGTTTTAAGAGTACTGTTAAAAGTGAAAACTTTTTAAAATGTTGTATTCGTGCAACGCATATCAAGAAAGTTTATCAGAAGGACACAAGTAGCTTCCTATCCCCAGCAATTCCAATTTCTTCTCCAAAAAGCACAATGACTTTACTTTTTGTAATCAAATCATATGAACACTGAGACAATGATAGTAGCAATCAATAACAGTTAACCTATCCATATTTAAGAGTTTGAAGGACAAATCCACTAGATAAAGCATTCACTGAAAGCACGAGTTCTACTTAGTCATCCATCTGCTCTATTTCTAAAGCAACAGAGCTACATAGGGGCGCCGTTGACTCGTTAGAAGAACTACTATCGCTGCTTCTTTGCATGGATATGGGTGAATCCGGAGGGTAAAACAACGGTTTAGGAGGCAACTTTAGGCCACTAGCATCACCTTCAAGCATTTCTAAGACTTCTCTCATTGAAGGACGATCATCAGGTGTCATCTGAATGCACCACAATGCAATCAAAATCAATTTTCTTGTAATTGTCTTTTCTTCTTCAGTTGCATGATCTCCGATTTCCATTTCCTGCACCTGATCGAATTTGTCATATATCCATGAAGGGAAGTATATTTGACTTGAATGCTCGGCATGAGCATCCACATTTCTCCTCCTCCCAGCCATCTCCATTAGTAACATTCCATAACTGTAAACATCTGTCTTGTGCGAGACTCTTCCAATTTTTTTGTAGAACAACTCCGGGGCCATGTAACCTAATGTTCCTCTCACGGCAGTAAGAGTTGCAATACTCTTTTGCATCGGGTAAAGTTTTACAAGTCCAAAGTCTGAAACTTTTGGAACAAAGTTCTCATCAAATAAGATGTTATGTGGCTTAATATCAAAATGCAGGATTTGCATATCACACCCCTGATGCAAGTATTCAATGCCATGAGCAACCCCCTTTGCAATGTCACAAACTTGCTTCCAACTTAATGGAGAACCATTTTGACAGTTTGAGAAAATTAACTTATCCAAAGAGCCATTTGGCATGTAATCATACACTAGAGCATGTTTTGAGGCAGTAACACAAAATCCCACTAACCGAACCACGTTCACATGGTGTATTCTTCCAATGGTCGCAACTTCATTGATGAACTCCTGCCCATTAGCTTTTGATTTGTTCAGCATCTTGACAGCAACTGCACCTCCACTGCGCAATTTGCCTTTGTAAACCAAGCCATAGCCTCCTTCACCTAGTTTCTCCTCAAAATTTTTTGTCATTGTCTTAATTTCTTTGTACGAGTACCTAATGGGCATGAGGCTGTTGTTTGCTTGTAGGAAATCTTCTATTGTATCATACCTCGATAAATGCCTCCGACGACACCGATAAAGGAGGAAAGCAAACAAGAGGATAATGCCAATGACTTTTATTGCTGCTATAAGCAGAACTGAAATAGAAGAAGAGAACAACAAGACTTAGCTATGATTGGCTTCTAGTATATGTCCAATAGAGAGTTTTCAACTATAAATCAGATGCCTTACCCGAAACGAAGCCACCAATATCAAAGTAAACTGCTTATAAAAGAAAAGTTAAAGGATTGTAATGGAAATATTGAAATAGAAAGAATCTGATTGATTAAAGAATGGTTTTTCTGTAAATCAAAGAAATCAGATTACTCACTTGCATTTCTGTCAACGACAAATGAGCCGCTGTTTAAGTCGGGGCTGATGACATGTCGGTAGACGAATCTGTAGATTTCTATCGATTTGAGAACTACATAGCCTAAGTACAAAAGTCAATGTCAATGTCCAATTGGATGCTTGAAAATTAACCTTTATTAATTGTGCGTACAAGTTTCAAATTACCACGACAATAAAAAAAAGTTTCAATTACTACGACAATAAATTCAAAGTATGTTTGTTTTGCATGTTTGTTGGGATCTTAACACAAATAAGCTTTTTCAAAATGTCAACCCACCCTCCTGTCTAAAATCCAACTATTCTAATTTGAATATGGTCCTATATATTTTTGTTTGCTAAAAAAGATTTGCAGCAACAAATAAAGACAAAATAGCAGTAGGTTTCTGGTATTCTGATTCCCCAAAACAAAAAGAGTCACATCATCAGTTTCTGAATTAAACAGATGATCTACAGGGAATTGAGGTAGATGCGGTTGTGTATTATTATTGTATTTCTTGCAAATTTTGCTGTACATTTACATTATTTTGTTATACACAAGAAAATAAGATCTTAATAAAAGTGCCCTAATTCTTTTCAGTTAGTGCCATATGTAAGGAAATCAAGGATAAGCATTTATTAGATAACAAGGTATCTTACTCATAGTACTGATATTTGGTGATGCAATTCGTTACATGAATGATGTATCAAATAAAAATTAAGAAATCTACTTGAAGCTGGAAAATGAAAGGAACTTTACCCAGAGTTGACTCAACCAAATTTCACATATACTCTCCTTTCATTTTTAGGGAAGAGTGGAGTAAGAATTGCACTATTAAGAGGAGAATTTGAGATGGGTTAAATTTACACTTTCACAATCTAGACCTATACGGTGTATAAAATAAGCGGTTGTACTCATCAACAAGAAAGATGAATAGTGGTACTACCGTATTTAGCCCCAAATGTACCACTTCGCATCTTACCTTAAAATTTTCCAATATACGGTAATTTAAAATCAAAATCGTTCAAAACGCCCTTCACATTTTGCAAAATGACTTTTTTTGTTCTTCACTTTTAAAAATGTACTTTTACATCCCTTACAAATTCACATTAATCAAATTTGGTCCCTATCTAGGTTTCCGACTAGTTTTTTGTCGGAATCCACCACGTGCCTTGCACGTGATCATTTATTAGGGGTAAAATTATCAAATTAAAATTTATATAATCCATCTATAGTCCCTTACATTTCACAAAATGAATTGTTTCGTCCCTTACATTTCACAAAATAAATTTTTTCATCCCTCACATTTCACAAAATGAATTTTTCTCATTGACCGCGTGTACCAATAGTTTTTTTTTAATTCATGTATATATCTATTTGATTTTATCTAAATAGTACAAATAATATGTAATATATCTCTATTTGATATCACCTAAACAGATCGATATATACATGGGTTTAAATCTAATAATTTTGTTTTAAACCTATATATATATATATATATATATGATTTTACCATGTGAATCTATCCAATATTTGTAACCTTTTCTATTTTAGTAATAATTCATTTATTGAGTTTTTTAATAAGAGTATCTAATTAATAGGTGTTAATTTGAATTCTATAGTCATGCTAACAAATTGCAATTTAAATCTGAAATTTTTATTCGCTACTTTTAAGACCAACAGTTGAATTTCTTACCTTATGATTATTTTAAATTTGAAAGTGTCAATTATTTACTTCTTCTTTATCATACTTTTCCTTTGTTTATTTTTTTCTATCTCAATTTAATTCGATATAAACACTTGAAAATGTTTAGAATTAAATGTCGTCTTTGTTTTCAATTTTCAAGTAAAAGGAATGAACATGAGTGAAAAACTAACAATTTTTTTTAAAACCCCCGTATATATCTATTTTAATTTCACATGAAAAAAGGAGAAATCAAATAGAGATATATTACATGCTATTCGTATTGTTCAGGTGAGATCAAATAGATATATACATTAGTTTAAAAAAAAAAGTTATTCGTATACATGAATAATGAGAGATGAAAAAATTTATTTTGTGAAATGTAAAGGACGAAACAATTCATTTTGTAAATGTGAGGGACAAAAAAATTCATTTTGTGAAATGTTAGAGGCTATGGATTGGATGATGTAAATTTTGATGTGACAATTTTGCCTTTCAAAAATGATCACGTGCAAGGCATGTGGTGGATTCCGACAAAAAACTAGTCGGAAACCTAGATAGGAACCAAATTTGATCAATGTGAATTTGTAAGGGACGTAAAAATATTTTTTCAAAAGTGAGGGACGAAAAAGTCATTTTACAAAATGTGAGGGACGTTTTGAACGATTTTTCCTAAAATCTTCCAATATACGGTAATTTGGCATTAATTCCCCAAAAACATAGTTTCAAGCAGTAGTATTGAATACTTTTTTAATAAATCTTCAAATCAGTGTACTTACAAAGAAAGGATCTCCTCCTCCTGCTGGTCTCGAAGCCTGTGTACCAACTGAGCTCAAGGCCATTGGACAGAAGATTGTGGATGTCTTGAAACGAAATATCTCCTGCAGTTACATTAGGGAGACACCACAGGTCTACTGGAAGTATTTTATAGACAGTGCACGACTCTTTAATATCACTTGCCACCACACTTTCACCAACCACAACATAGCTGTAATAACCGGGTGGAGCTATCATTTTTGAAAAATGATTTGCAGTGATATTACAGGAAGCAGTGTCTACATAAAGAGGATTTTTGTATTTCACCGGATTTTTACAGCTCACAAAGACCATCCAATCAGAATCAGAAACAATCCGCATCTCATAACCCAGAGCAGGTTGATAGTAGTCGTCGAGGTATGGGTAGACTGGCAGAGTAGAACAGTAGTTCTTTTGCACCCCAGGATCAAATATACGAAGTGTCTGTTGCTCATAATCAATACTGTTCAGCTCCACAGAAAAGTTATACTGTTTCTCCGGATGGATGCCATCAACTACGGGTAGAACAGTGCGATTATTTTCACAAGAGAATTCAATAACATCAGGGCGCTTTAAATTGATGTCGGTGCCTCCGCAAGTGGATGGGCTATGGTCACAGCTGGTGTCTTTGGCATATCTCGAGCAATATTCATTTAAAAAACCACCATATTTGATATCCAGCAGCCAGCAGTAAATCAAGATTAGAGACAACAAAACTACCAAAATGTGAAGTTGAAGCATACTTCTTAAACACCGACCGAGTGAATTAAAAAAAAAGAAGCCGGATATATATAGGAAACGGAGAAGGGGCTCTTTACTTGGCAAAGAGAATAGGGCCTGAGGTCTCCAATAGGCATGTATGTAAGCCAAAATTAATTTATTGAATATCTCTTTCAGAACGGGGCCTTATTACCAATGAGTTACATGATGTGACAAAACTCCTCATTTTGAGTTGGATATAAATTTAAACAATAAATATATGATAAAATCATTTTTCTTTACAAAATAATATGTAGTGCACGATTATGGGATCAATAGCTATTGATAGTTGATCCATTATTTTTCTTTGATTATATATTCTAAAATTAGGATTATTAACTTTTTTTTTTTTTTTGATATTCTTCTTCTGCATCTAACTTCAGATTTTATCAATAGTCAAAAAAATTAAAATATGAATCTATTAAAGACTACATTTACCTAATTCTCGTTATCCTTACCAATCGCATTAACCAAATTTTGCAAAATTTCACGGCAAATGAAAACAAGCCTAAATTCTAATCAGCCAGCTTTGATATCTCAATATCTAGTTCTAGTAATGTTGTTCTTTCTTCCATTAGTCAGGTAACGAAAACAAGTCTGTTGTGCCTTTGAATATTTCTTTTAAGCAGTCCAACATAGATTTATAAATGAAGACTTTAACCCTAAAAAGAGAAAAAGAAAAAAAAAGAAAATTAGTCAGGTAATGAGTCTACTAATACATAAGTTATATTGTAAATTCAGAGCCACATCATTATGGTGATGCATGAAGAACTAAAAATAGTTATAAGAAATTATCTTTATTTTAATGAAAAACACACATAGAATTCCCATTTTTCACATTTTTCTTTCTTTTCATTTTTCCACTTAACTTTTAGACCCTCGAATTTGGAGTGATCTATGGAGCATCAACACTATTCCACCAACCATGCGTTTTCTTTTATTGGCAGATGAATCTTGAATTCTGAGGAAGGCAAAACTCGACTTGAATGCTGAGTCCTTGTTCTTTAAATTATTTTCCAATCTACTCTTTCTGTTGTCAACGTTTTGCAGAATAGTGTATTTTTCTTGTAAGCTCGAGTTGATGGTAACATGAAACAAAGTTTTTAAAAGAGCAAAAATTCTAATTGAAAAAATTCTAATAAAGTTGAGTAATTCGACCGAGGTATAGCTTTTCACAATTCCACACTAATTGTCTAATTGGAAAATGAGCTTTAGTGGTCAAAAAGGGTTTTAGCGAGGACGACTTTCCCTACTTTTACTTTGCTCTTTAGTAAAGTTTCTCTTTCATAATTAACGAACTCTCTCTCTTTTTTTTTTTGCTTTTTCTTTTGGGGTAGACCTATGTAGACTTTAAAAGTCGTTGGTCTTTGTACCAAAGTCTATCGTTGTTTTGCTTGTTAGCCCCAGTTGATGATACTTTAAGAGCATTTTCCATATCACAAAAGATGTTAAAGTTGGACTGCTTTGTCGGATAAGTATTGACAGAAGTGTGGATGTTGAGCTTTCATTGTCATCAAAGTGGAAAGCTTGCTCAACATCACACCACCTAAGTGGAAAACTTTCTAAAAGTCTATTGTAATAGTTCCATTGTAAATTCTCATGTTATATTTTTAGCATAGCAAATGATGCAAAAAATAGGTTGTTTAGAATCACCCTAAATTGCATTCCCATTTGATAAAGAATATGTCTACTAAATCGAGATAAAAAAAAAAGTTATCAATTTTGGTCAGAAAACATTAAAAGCAGAAAACTTATACACCACGTCATGAACACCACTCCTTAGTGGTCAGTCCGCGCTAAAAGCCAGTTCAAACATATGATTGCCCAATTTTCTCCAGTGGGGCAGAAACATGCAGCTAGGACCTACTTAGCAATTTTTTTTATCACAATAATAATATTTGTATAATCTAATTTAGGTGGAGGGAACCTAATTTTTTTTTCTCAAAACTATATTTGATTATATTGCTTTCAAAAGATATACAATTGCGAGCAAAGACTCGAGTTAACTTTACATTCAGTGTACTTGACACTGAGGAAGCAAGAGTTCCTCATCTATTGTGATGCCTAAGGCACAAGTGTTAATCTTAGAGTTTAAATGATTCTTATCATTTTTAGGAACACCATTGGAGGAAACCGCATATAATAGCTTGGTATGAGGCAAGATTTGCACCCTTGAACTCTTACCCCACATATAGTATTTGGCTATTTGCATTTCCAAGCAATTTCATACCGGGCTCCATATCCATTGATATTTAGGACGAAGATGCATTTATTTTATTATACAAGAAAATTCTATTGAGTGATGGAAAATGTAGCTAGGGTAATTCACTAAAATGTATTTGTAGCTAATACTCTAACCATTCTTTACCAGTAAAACCAACAAGCGGAATGATCGGAGGATATATTAAACTAGTGCTAATATAGTGAGTATTGGTGTACAAAGTTAAAAGTTACAGATAACTTATATTAGTTAGCAATTACCACTTGTAACTCGTTGTGGCTTCTAATTTTTAAAACAAAAAAATCAACTGCATAATTATGAAGAGCTTGACATGATAAAATTAACTAATTGTGTCATTGATTTAAAATGTATTTTAGTTCCACACTAGTCTACTCCATTTCTTGGCTACAGAGTTGCACAGTTGGTCTATTGAATCTTCAGAGCATTTCGAAAATTTCTATAATTGCTTTCAAAGCATTGCTTTCAAAAGTAAGTTCCTCGCATTTCCATTTTCCTCTTCAATCATACAATCTCCAATTTCCTCTCTGTGCTGTTGATAACATTTATGATTCATAATTATCACAGGAAGATTTTAAGTGAAGGAGAGAGGTTCCTTCATAAAGTGATCCTTTTATGATTATTATTGTCTGGGTCCATGAGTGATGATTAGTTGACTTGGAAAATTTTTTTTTGAGAGTTGACTTGGAAATCCATTTTTAATCAACTTTTAGAATACCAACAAGCATACTTTTCCAGTAGTGGGTCTCTCTCATTGAGAGCTCTTTCTCTCTCTAGCTGAGAGCTTTCTCTCCACTGAGTGGGAGATTAAAATTTCAAATCTCAAAAAACCACCGCTCAAACACCAACAACTCAACACTCAAAACACTAATTTGCTAAGCTCAAAACATCGGCGTAGATCCACACAGCAAATCTGAACACCCACACTTAGACAACGTCCAATTAGTTGTGGGAACTCAAAATCAACAAAGATAAGCAGAATGTTTCACGCATTGAAGAGGATTCATTAAAGAGGGTACTCAAAACAGAGAAGCCATGCAGGAGCAAGGGAAAGTTTGGTCTACTACACCGAGGCAGTAAATGCTCATAAATCTGCCATGATATGCTGCTGCCAGGTATCACTGTCATTAACTATTCTACTAAGCCTTAATCACACATGCACTTGCACGATTAGGGTTGCTTTTTGCGTACCTCGTAGTGTATTTACCTACAAAAAAGTGTAATCTGGTTTCACCTTCTCACTGAGTTGTTCAAGTCCTTAGTCATTGGATAGATATAGTTAGAGGAATCCCTTTTAGATCTACTTGGGGCTATGGCGGATGAACTGGAGGAGGTGCTGAAAAAATTTGCTCTGTCCAGCATAGAACAGGATAGAGCATGGTTGGAGATGGATGACGTAGATCCAGGAGTTTCTGAATGTATGACTAGCATCATTGGCAAGATAAAAGGAGAAAAGGTGGCAAATTTTACTGGGGTGAAGAATTTTGTCAATGCAGCTTGGGGATACCCTAAAGATCTTACAATTACTGAGTTGGGGCCCAATCTCTTTCAGTTCTTTATACCGGATGTAGAGAACAGATCACGAATTCTCAATGGAGGGCCATGGTTGATAGATAACCAAATCTTTGTACTCAACAGGTGGGAAGCAGGAATAGAGGAAAACACTGAGGCATTCAGATTTGCTCCACTCTGGGTGCAAGTATGGAACTTGCTAATCCATTGGATATCTAAGGAAGTTGGGAGAAAAATAGGAAAGGTGTTTAAAGAGGTAAAGGAAGTACTAATCCCCTACTCTGGAGGTAAAGAAGGAAAACACCTTAAGTTGTTAGTAAATGCAGATTTGACCAAACCACTGCATAGAGGAACTGCCGTTAAGGCTAATGGAGTGCTAAAATGGGTTAATTTCAGGTATGAAAGGGTTGGATTTTTGCTACAATTGCGGCATAATTGGCCACAGTGAAAAGAAGTGCAAGAATGTAGTAATCATCAGGAAAGAGCAACAAGAAAATCAATTTGGACCATGGTTGAGGGCTCAGGTAGGGAAGAATTCCCTCAAAAAGATGACATGACCAGTACATTCACCCCAGATAAGCAAGTGGGGATTCCATAATGGGGAATGGATTAAGAAGAGTGGCGGAAGTTGTTGTACAGGGGATCAACTCAATAGATCTGGGAAAGAGAAGGAAGTGATGGAATCTATGAGCAAGGAATTAGTATTGCAAGGTTAGTTGGAAAGGGCTAAGGAGAGGGCTCAGAATTCAGGTCAAGAAGATGAGGATATACAGGAGGCACAAGAGACTGAATGGTCTAAGATGGTGAGGAGGTGAGCAAAGATGAAGAGACACATCTAGACCAGAATCAAGTGAGAATGGGAAGAGATATTTGCAATGAGGCCACCTGTAGATATCAGGAGAGATGGGGAACAGGATTCAAACTAATGGGATGGATGAAGGAGGAAGCATGAAGACAGCTATGCAGGTGGATGGGAGGAGTTTGTTCAAACTAAATGTGTAGGAACAAGAAGAGGGAGGAAGGTGAAACTGTTAAACAAAATAGGTGCAAGAGATAGAACCCCCCTGAAAGAACTGCAGAATTTGGAACATGGATCTGGATTGAACACCAAGAGGAAACTCACACTGTTGATGAGGAAATGATAGGAGACGCAGATGTGGATACAACACAAAAGAATAAAGTTGGGAATGGGAGACCTGTAATGGCCGGGACAAGAGGGTGGAAGAGACCA